TTATTAGTATATTGATTTTTAAAAAATTATTTATTTTGGCTGCGACAGGTCTCAGTTGCAGCATGTGGAATCTTCATTGCGGCATGTTGACTCTTAGTTGAGGCATGCATGTGGGATATAGTTCCCCAACCAGGGAGTGAACCCTGGGTCCCCTGCATTGGGAGCACGGAGTCTTACCCACTGGACCACCAGGGAAGTCCCAATTTATTAGTGTATTATTAAATAGTAATAACTTGTAGCTGAGATATTTGCCACTGGAGCTGTTATTAAGGCAAAAATTATCAGGTTTCTGAGAAGGGCTGGATAGTCTAATATAGTATTCTCATTTAATCCACCAGGAATCCTTCAGCTCACTGTCCAAACCCCAAGCAGTGAGTTCGTATTTTGTACCCAGTCTAGCACTGGAGGGTAATGAAAACACAGATAAAGAAAAGAGGGTGAGTGGCGGCAGATAAATATTTTTAAAATTCTGTTAGGGTCCCTAAACATTTATTGATCATCTTGCTGTATGTATCAATTAGCTATTAACACAATAATTCTGTGTTAAAGTTCAGTGACTTAAAATAATAAGCATTCATTTAACCCTCAAGATTATGGGGTTGGAGGCTTCCCTGGTGGCGCAGTGGTTAAGAATCCGCCTGTCAATGCAGGGGACACAGGTTCTAGCCCTGGTCTGGGAAGATCCCACATGTGGCAGAGAAACTAAGCCCGTGCGCCACAGCTACTGAGCCTGCACTCTAGAGCCCGCGAGCCACAACTACTGAAGCCTGAGTGCCTAGAACCCGTGCTCTGCAACAAGAGAAGCCACCCCATGAGAAGCCCGCGCACCTCAACGGAGAGTAGCCCCTGCTCGCAGCAACTAGAGAAAAGCCTGCGCGCAGCAACAAAGACCCAACGCAGCCAAAAATAAAAATAAATAAATTAAAAAAAAAAAAAGATTATGGGGTTGGTGACTTTGTTACCGAATTCAGATCTCGGATACGAGAGACAAGCGCTGGTAGAGACAGAAAAATTCCTTTTATCAGAAAGCTGGTTATTTGGGGGAAAGGCGGACTTGTGTCCCAAAACCGTCTCTGAATGTTCTGCGTGGCCCTGAAAGTTTTTAAAGGGAAAAAAGGGAAGTAATCTCAGTTAATCATTGAAATAGGCGGTCAGAGTCATTGCCATCCCCCACTGTGCACAGGCCTGTGGGCCCCCTGTGATCTTTTTTTAGATGCTTATCTTGTTCACACAGTTTGTTTATGAGATTACTGAAGGGGAAAGCTAGGGAAGAGATCTGGTCATCTGTTCATTACTTATTCTTCATTTCTATTTCTTTGATCTAAGGAAAGAACCAACAGGTTAGGCAAAGTGTCGTGTGATCAAAAGATTTGAAAGGTTTGGGCCAGAGGCTAGTTAAAATATAGCTTTGCTAAAGTGACAAGACAAAAGGGACCTCCTGCAGAGAGTTCTTTCCTGAAAAAAGCTGCTTACAACTTCGGGTGGCAGGTTGTCCTGGTCTCACCTAAGACCTCTCAATGGCATTTGAGGACCGAGTATCTATGGAGGGTAACTTCAGTGAGAAGTCCCAATTAGCTCTGAGTATTTGAACATGATCAACTGAGGAGGTGGGTGTTAGTAGTTAGAAAATTTGGGGTCAGAAAACTTGGGGTGTGAGGTGCACAGGTTCGGAAATTCATTTTGGATAATCTTGATCTTGCTTTTATTTGCCTAAAATCAGAAATCATTAAAAATGCAGAATTTGGTAATGCCGATACCCCAAGCTAATGTTAAAATATTTTTTTCATGTGCAACAGCAAATTTCAAGGGTCTACTTAAAAGTGAGGGATCAACTAGTATTTGCTTCACCCTAATTGCTTGGCATTCCTTTTTTAAAATGTCAGTAGGTTTTTCTATGTTTTTCTTTATTTGTCATCTTTGATGTCATCAGTTGGTGAGAACATCCAAGGATCATAATATTTTGAACCTGAGAGGGACCCTGAAACCACTGAGTCTAACTGTCATTGATATAGCAAGGAAATGAAGCTCCTGTAGATTTCTACCAAGTTATGCAACAAATTAGTTTGAAGCACAAGGGTAGAACCCTGGACCCTTGCTTCCCATTCTAGTGGTTTCCTCAGTGGTTTGGTTTTGTTGTTGGCATGTTCTCTGGCTTTGCAGGGAAAACAGTGGAGAATTTGACTGAAGTTGAAAATTAGCAGTGGTGGCATTTGCATATCCTTGTGTTTATAAGTCATGCTCAGCTATATTAACTTGTGATTGAAATGAGTAGCTGAGATAATCTGATAATATGGTTAAGTATTACTTCTAGTTTTTCAGTGTCCTCCTCTATTAAAAAGGAATTATAGGCTTCCCTGGTGGCTCAGTGGTTGAGAGTCCACCTGCCGATGCAGGGGACGCGAGTTCGTGCCCCGGTCCGGGAAGATCCCACATGCCGCAGAGCAGCTGGGCCCGTGAGCCATGGCCGCTGAGCCTGCGTGTCCAGAGCCTGTGCTCCGCAACGGGAGAGGCCACAACAGTGAGAGGCCCGCGTACCGCAAAAAAACTAAAAAAAAAAAAAAAAAAAGAAAAAGAAAAAGAGGAATTATAATGTTTTTCCTCAAGGAATTGTTGAAATTACAAAGAAATTATAAAGAAATTAGTACATTTACATCACTTACGTTTGTATCTGACACATATTATTTGCTATTATTATTGTTATTATTTGTTGTTGTTTGTTTCTAATTCACAGACATCATGGACTAAGGGGGAAAATTTTACTGTCCAATTTCATTGTAGGAGGGGGAGGAGGAGAAGATGCAGAAAATTCACCTCTTAGACTGCCCCATGTATGAGCTAGTAATCTCAGCCTCTGACCTCGTGCTTACCAAAAAAGGGGAGCCATATCATTTTGTCTTATTTTCTCATTTAATTTTGGTCAACAACTGGAAATTGAAATCTTGAAAGGAGGTCATTTTTTTCAACCACTGCTCTCTGTGTCGTTCTAGGCTTTCATTGCTTTGGGATGCTACATTTAAAGAGTAACTTATCTGACACCTTTAACTGAACTTTTTGAGGAAATAGAACTTCTCAAGGAGGAAGAATTTGCAAACAAAGCGGCACTTTATAAATGCCTCTGAAATAACCATCACAGTGAGCTTTCAGTGAAACAAAATATGAATTACCTAAGTTTAGCATCTGAAACCCTGTGGTTTGTTTTATATAAGGGAAGCCACTTCTAATTTTTCCACTGTGTTAAAATAAACAAGCAACAGAGGGAACCTGAGAAATGAAGTTTCTAAAAGCAGACCAACCCAAGAAGGACTTTTTCATTCAGAAGTGTTGCAACCCTTTTCCTTCCCACACTGCCGTTCCCTTTCCCTTCCTGCTGCCACTTATCCACATCCTTTAAAGGAATAGCAGAAATGTCCAGGGCTGGTCTTTGTTGAGTTGGCCTGAAAATGATGGTGATAGAGGGGGAGCTGAGAAAATGCACGTAGCAGTGCTTTAACTTTTTGGAATCACAGACCTAGCTGACACTGGAGATCAAAGTCAAGGACTTTGCCTCAAAGAAATGCACAGATGCAGACATACACAATATCTCCTGTGCAGTTTCAGGAAGTGGTAAACTCCCTCAAGCCCATTTCAGGACAGAAAAGATGCACCTGCGTCCTGAGAGCTGACAGTATTCCTGGCCTTACTCCTTGCCAAGCTCTCTTTTGAGAGCTAAGGGAGAAGAAAGAATTTAAATGTAATGCTTGGGGGTGGATCCAGTCCAGAGCTTGCTAAGAGGTGGCTCTGTGTACTGTTTTTTGGAAGAAGGAAGGGACTTGCCTCTTAGTGACACTGTCTCCTCCTTACGGTGCCACTTGGACGCACTTAGCTGTAACAAAACAGAAACCACATGTATTTTGTAAGCAGTCAAGTTAGATGTTTCTTTGTGAGCTGCTAACCCACTCAGGTCTTCAAAAGGATCTCTCTCCTTATAGAACATCCTTGCTGCGTGAAGATACCACATTCAAATGCAGATTTTAAGAGTTTCTGGGGGAGGATTCCTTTGAGGAAAAATTAGACTAAAAAAAGTAAAAGAAAAAAATGAAAAAGGGCAGGGGAAACAAGGATGAGGTGGGAAATGTTTGCTGGATTATGTGGTTCAGTTTGACTTTTCTCCCTACACTTTGTACAGAAATCTGCCTGTAGGTGAAAAGGACTTTAGGGTTTCCTGAAGTTTGTTGGCAATCTCCTCTTGCTTCCCTTTCATCGTCTTTATTAAAACCAGCCAATCACATGTCTTCTATATGTATGAGTACAAGTGGGTGAACTGTGGGAGATGCAGGGTCCACACAAGTTGCTGCCCCTCTAGAAGTGACATTCTTGTAACCTAGTTTGGTTCCAAAGGTCATAGGCAGATGAGGAAATTATCACTGCATATGGGTGAGCTCTGTTTGACCACCAATGCTTAATAACTTTGTTACCTTGGATAAATTACTTAACCTCATAAAACCTTAGCATCCTTTTTTTTAGGGGTAAGACATTTGTGAGCCAGTTTGTGGGTGGAAGACATTGTCCCTCTCAAATTACATTCAGTAGGCAAATTAAATCTTATTTTGTTTAAGATCATCCCTGTGACTAGTGTAATCACATAGTTGCCAGAATACCTGGGTTATTTGGGATCAGATGGGATAGTAATATTTATAGCTAACTAGTTTACAGTTAGGTTGTGTTTCATATATTATCTCACTTATTCTTCACAATTTCCTGTGAAGTAGATACTATTATTTTCCCCTCTTTTATAAGTGAGAAAGATGTGCAGAGATGTTAGAAAACTTGCCCAAGATTATCCAGACAGTAGGCAGCAGAGCTGGGGGATTGAAACCCACGTGGTCTGGTTCCAGAAGCCACGCTCTTAGCTATGATCCTTTCCAGCCTTCTTCTGAGCTAGTCTATTCACACTGAAAGGAAAACATTATTTGTGGTAGACTCTGACACTTATTTAAGGTGTTTTTTCTTTCCTGTTTCAGGTATCTGACAGCAAGCCGCAATAGAAACTTCTTGCTTACCATGAGGCCATTCTTAAAAAGGGCCATTTTGGTCATAAGTTATGTAAGTACATATATGCTTTTGAAATATCTGATAAGAAATATTTCACTTTAACTTGACTCAGAGACATGATCCAGATTGTTTGAGTCAGCAGTAGCGTCTAACAATATGATCTTAAGATCAAAGAATTTACACGCTATAAATGTGACAAAGCCTTGGAATGTATGTATGGAAGCATTCTAGGGATATGTGAACTCAATGACACCAGCAGTATTAACTATAATATTTTTTGTGCCGTTTTCAAGGTGCTGATGCTGTGTTGTCTCTGCAACACAAACCTGGCTGTATCGGTTATCTAGTGCTGCACTTATATAAAAAGCATTCATGAAGTAAGCCAGTGATATTCATGGGGAAAAGTCCAGGCTTAACTACCTCCCAAAATTAATCTTTACCTTTTATTGAAGCAAAGATTTCCCTCTGACTTTATCAGAAACAACATAATTGGTCCTATTGGAATGAGAATGACATCTAGAAGGTCTGTGTGGGTGAATTCTTCTATAAACAGAACTTATTGCCACAGAAGTGTCTCTGGCCTCTGGTTTTCTTATGCACCTTTGCAACAGGATAGCACCATTCAGTGATAAAATTCCACTGAGTAGACACAAAAGAGGTTTCTTGGGGTTGTTGAAATAACTCTTGCATGAGTGGTCTGCTCCAGAGCATTTGAGAGTTGGAGCATTTCCAAATGTATTTATTCAGGACACAGAAGTATCATCTATCATAGTTTAAGTTAACTTTCGTGGGGCTCTGTAAGAGGGATGGTTAATAACCTGGGCATTGGAGACCAATGACATGAGTCCAACTCCTGGATCTTGCAATTTACTAGCTGTGGGATTCTGGGCAAATTGGGAGGCCTCAGGTTGATGGAAAGCCTTTAGTGGATAACAATGGATAACAGCTAATAAGTGCTTGAAACTGATGACTGTTATTAAGATTTGCTTGCCTTTCCATCATCACCTTCATTGTTTACTCTTCCCTCTACCCAACTACTTTCCTACTCACCTTCAATGTTAGGATTTTACAGAAATGCTCACTAGGAAAAGTGTTTGTAGATCAAAATATTTGTAAAGCATCAGAAAGTATCCTCCAGAAAGGTGGGGCTTACTCCCGACAATCAATGATTTTCTTACCAAATCTTCTTTTCTCTGAAGGTGATTGTTGTTCTGTACTTCCGTCTGTGGATAATGGGAGGATCTATGCCCCTCTTTTCAGAGCAGGATAATCCAGCTTCATTTTCACCTTACATTCTTACAAGGTCAGTAGAAATACATTTTTTTAACTTTACTTGGTATTTATCAGGTTGTTTTAAATAATCTTAAGCGATATGTTGTCTTTGCATTTTAAGGAAAGAAAGGTTGTCTTCTATTCAGGGCGTGTGGAGAAAAGAAACTACTGTTTAGATCTTTGGAATTCTTTTCAACAAATGGTGCGGTTTTGTCAATATTATTGGTATTGTTCTCATATTGGTATATATTTGTTTACTCAACAAGCATTTTGTTGAGCACTTACCAATAATAAATATCTATTGAGGGACTTCCCTGGTGGCACAGTGGTTAAGAATCTGCCTGCCAATGCAGGGGACACGAGTTTGAGCCCTGATCCGGGAAGATCCCTCATGCCGCAGAGAAACTAAGCCCGTGCACCACAACTACTGAGGCTGCACTCTAGAGCCCGCGAGCCACAACTACTGAGCCCTCGTGCCACAACTGCTGAAGCCCGTGTGCCTAGAGCCCGTGCTCTGCACCAAGAAGCCCACGCACTGTAACGAAGAGTATCCCCCGCTCGCTGCAACTAGAGAAAGCCCATGCGCAGCAACGAAGACCCAATGCAGCCAAAAAAAAAGCTTTTGAGTGGCTCATATGGCAAATGTTACAGGACAATGCACTGAGAGGTGTGTAGAGGTTGACTGGACATTATAACTACTTGTAAGGTTAAAATCAGCAGGGAAGTTGAAAGTGGCGAACAGAAATGAACAACAATTTTTGCTAAGATACAGTCAGTTATATCTTACCATTTGTCCTTAAGAGATTTAGGATAGTGGATCAAGAAGTGATGTTGACCAATGGATCTTGTTCATTGAGAGGGTTTTAATTCCTTACCCAATCTGCTGTGATGTACTTCTGACACTTTCAGATATAATTATATTTGACAGTTTTCATAATGTTTCTTCAGGATATATTATTCTATAATGTTTATACATTAAGGTGTACTGTTCTTAAATTTTCATAGTTTTATGTTCTTTTTAATGTCTAATATCATTTTTGTAATAGTGACCTTCCCTTTTCTGTGATTGCAAAGACATAATAAATCTGAAACCTTGACCAACAGCACATTTATATTTCAGCTTACTTGTATCTCTTAGGGATGGGAGATTGTTGGATTTTGTTTTTATAAAGCCAGGCTTGCTTTATTTCACTCATTTACTTTATATGTTTTAATTGATAAATTTCTACTCTTTTTTCATTGTATGTTCTTCTTTTTTGTTCTCAGTGTTTTCTGCCTTTCTAAAGACTATTTTCCATTCAAAAAGGATACTTCCAATTTGTTTGACCCATTTTTCTAATGAATGTTATGTCACAGTTGTTTGCATTACTTGCAACATCTATTTGTGTTAAAAAATCTTGAATATGCTTCAGAAACCATATGGTATACAGCCTCCAGTGTTGGCTTATCCCTTTGTGATAGTCTAGAGACTTATAAATTGTTGTTTATGTCTTATATTTTTCAAAATATTGTTTAATTAGTCCATTCATTAAGTTTGACATCTGTAGCCAGCTTTTTGTTAATATTGCAATCTACTTGTCCTTTTAGGTTTCTCTCACTGGCTTTCAACATCTCCAGGGCTCCTTGTCTGGATATTTTTAGCTCATTGAGAAATTGTTTCAGGTTCTGCAGCTCCTTCAATAGCTATTTTCTGCCTTTAAGCGAAAAAAACAGCTTTGCCAGATCCTGGTCTTGCTTTTGGCTCCATTTCCCTTGGCCCTCGGTTGGTCTCCCTCCAAGCTTTCTTGTCTGCTGAATTTGAGCATTCATTCTTGTCTTTATAGTTAGATGCAGCCCATTCCCCGAGCGTACCAGTCTCCAAACGCCAAGCTGCGCAAAGCAACAGATGAACGAGAACAAGAACGTATTGCTCTCAACTCACCAACCAGTCATTTCATTCTTATCTCTGTCATCAGCAAACACGTGCCTACCCCACTGTCCTTGGTGTCAGGACAAGGTGCCTTTGGTCTCTGGCTCACTGCCCTTCTGTCTATACCATCTTAGCTGCCAGGGGGGTCAGATTGCATTTTTATTCCGGCTGGTGGTCAAAAAAAATTCTTTGGTGGAACCTCTGGCAGAATTAGGATCTTGGGCCGGTCATTCACCATGTTCTACCTTTCACTTCCAAGGTTTTTACGTATTTTTTCTGAGGGGTCTGATACACATTTCATCCAGGACTTTCTGTCTGTGAATCCATCTGAATGACTATTCTCAGGCAATTCAATCAATATAAAGTGATAGAACAGAATATTCTAACATCTTTATATTCTCCCACTTGTAAAAAAAAAAAAAAAACACATATCTTTCTGTTTTTGTGTTTCATCCTTAAAATACAGATACCCTGGGACATTTCAGTGACAGTTGCTGTAAATGGCCTTTCACATTCCTCTAAGATAGCTGCATTATAATTGACTCTTTTAAGCATCCAGAACATTGTCGTTAATTCCTTTCCTGAGTAAAGTTTCTAGTCTTCTTGCATAATTGTTTGACCTCTGGTATAATGATGATTCTTAAACTGGATTACCTTAGTCTGGTTCCAATTCTGTTGGCTTTTTTTTTTTTTCTTCTCATCAGCTGTACCGTTTAGCTATGATTTGGCTGGCTCTGTGAATCTGTCTTTACCAGTCAAAGGTTTGTCAGTCAGCTATGTCAATTGATCTCGTTATTGCTTCACCTCTTTTACTGGATTTGTAAACTGAACAACTTTTATAGCATCTTTGCTTCTATCTTGCAAGGATATCTTCTTTTAAAGTAGGTATAATAACTTTATTATCAGGTGAGAGTTTTCCAACTAGCTTTCTCTTCTCTTAATAATTGTTATAGTTATTAATTACATGTAGTTTTACAAAATATCCTACTAGCTTTTAAAAGTTGCTCGGTCAACTCTTTGGTTTTTGGTTTGTTTCACATGACTTCTTGTGATTTTAGTTCTGAGATTCCTTCTCTTTTAGGTGATCCATTCCCATGTGTTTAGCTAAGAGGAAATACCCCGCCATTTTCTGCCTAACAAAACAGATGCAAAATTGTTGTGGTATGCTCATGAGAAACCTTTCTTAAGAAAAATTATCTCAGACATGAGAATAAGAAAAAACATGACCGTGGCATTCACTGTAATGTAGAACATTGTCTAACAAACCTAGGGGAATACAACTTTGGTTGACTTATTATTCACACTTACTGTATTTTACTACAACTCTGTCAACTTAGAATTTTATGTGTAGAAATCTGACAGGTGTGATGATTTCTTCTCTCTCAAGTAGAAAATAAAATTTCAAATGTTAGTTTTATTGCCTTGCAAGACATTGGGCAAATTTGTATCTAATTCACCAGCTCATTCCTTTTTATTTTTTCATGAACCATGAAAACTTGTTTTTCAAATTTAGTTTGTATATATCGACACATATATACTTATATGTTTCTTATATATATTCAATTTATACTTAATAACAGCTTGAGATATAATTTAAATGCATACAATTCATCTGTTTAACGTGTACAATTCAATGGTTTTTAGTATATTCACAGAGCCATGCAGCTATCATCACAATCAAATTTAGAACACCTCCCCAAAAAGAAACCTCATATCCATTAGCAGCTGTTCCCTATTTCACCCCAGTCCCCCGGCCTTAGACAACCATTGACCTACTTTTTATCTCTATAGAATTACTTATTTTGGATATATTATATCAATGGAATCATATGATGTGTGATCTTTAGTGACTGGCTTCTTTTACTTAGTAAACTGTGTTCAAGATTCATCGTGTCATAGCATACATATATTAATATTTATTTCTTTTTTATTCTGCAGTAGTATGCCATTTTATAGATACATCACTTTTTATTTTACCCTTTATCTGTTGATGGACGTTTGGGTTGTTTCCATGTAATGGAATGTTTTGGCTATTACGTATAATGCTGCTATGAACATTCATGTACAAGTTTTTGTTTGAATGTATGTTTTGATTTCTCTTGCATATGTACCAAGGAGTGGAATTGCCAGATCATATATGTTAACTCTATATTTGACTTTTTTTTTTAGCACAAGAATGTTTATTTAGTTTTATTTTTTTGGCTGCATTGGGTCTTCATTGCTGCGCGCAGGCTTTCTCCAGTTGCAGCGAGCAGGGGCTTCTCTTGTTGCAGAGCATGGGCTCTAGGTACGTGTGCTTCAGTAGCTGTGGCGCGCAGACTCAGTAGTTGTGGCGCATGGGCTTAGTTGTTCCAAAGCATGTGGGATCTTCCTGGACCAGGAATCGAACCCTTGTCCCCTGCATTGGCAGGCGGATTCCCAACCACTGTGCCACCAGGGAAGTCCCCTATATTTAACTTTTTGAGGAACTGCCAGACTGTTTACCAAAGCGGTTTTACCATTTTACATTTCTACCAGCAGTCTATGAGGGCTCCAGTTTCTCCACATCCTCTTCAACACTTGTCTTTTTGACAGTCTTTTTGTTGTTGTTTTAATTATAGCCATACAAGTGGGTGTGAAATGGCATCTTATTGTGGTTTTGATTTGCATTTCCCTGATGACTAATGGTGTTGAGCATCTTTATATATATATATTAGCCATTTCTATATCTTCTTTGGAGAACTGTCTGTTCAGATCCTTTGTCCAGTTTTGAATTGGGTTATTTGTCTTTTTATTATTGAGTTATAATAGTTCTTTATATATTCTACATATGATATTTATATATTCTAGATATATGATTTATGAACATTTTTTTACCTTTCTGTGGGTTGTTGTTTCACTTTCTTTTTTTTTTTCTTTTTTTTTTTTTGTGGTACACGGGCCTCTCACTGTTGTGGCCTCTCCCATTGCGGAGCACAGGCTCCAGACGCGTAGGCTCAGCAGCCATGGCTCACGGGCCCAGCCGTTCCACGGCATGTGGGATCTTCCCGCACCGGGGCACGAACCCGTGTCCCCTGCATCGGCAGGCGGACTCTTAACCACTGTGCTACCACGGAAGCCCTGTTTCACTTTCTTGATGGTGA